ACATCATATACATCATACACATCATATACATCATATACATCATTTGCATCATATACATCATATACATCATATACATCATAAACATCATAAACATCATAAACATCATGTACATCATACAAATCATATACATCATATACATCATATACATCATATACATATGCATCATATACATTATATACCTCATATACATCATATACATCATAAACATCATAGACATCATATACATCATATACATTATATAAATCATATTCATCATATACAAATATATATGTACATCATATACATGTGCATTTGCAGTGGTTTAACATTGACATAGAAAAGTCCAATTTCTTATACATAATATAAATCTTAATTATATACCCCTACATTAAATACATCTACATTATATAGATCTACATAATTCATCACGCAGAGTGCTAACATTGGCATAGAAAAATCCCAACTTCCTCTACATATGCATAGCAGAGTGTTAACATTAGTTACTGAGATTGCATTTACATAAACGCGAACGTCACGAAATAATTAACACAGCTGAATTATGGGTTATAAATTGATATGAGCTAACTAAATGCAGCTCGCTTAAACGGATTGGGCCAAGTTTGAGTTAACTTTTAGATTGCTTATTTCAGATAGAAAAATGTAAATGAATTCAAATTTTCTTCAGCTGTGCCTTAGTTATTTCTTAAATGGATCCATATTTGATTTACACTGACTGCAGTTTCATATATCAAATGTGGCAAGAGTATCTCAGCTTCGATTTGTCAGCTGATCAATTCCGATATCCGACTAATTAAAATTAATGGCAGTGCTAGAGGCTCAAAGTGAATCTTCGTTATGAGCGAATGGACCGTGACGAGCTCTGCGAGAATATTGGATTGACATTTCAAATTATAGTTTCATTTAAGATGGTTCGACTGACTACGTCATTCAATTTAAAAGTCGGTAAGTAGATTTCGTTTTGAATTTTTATTATTCACAAAAAGGAGAAGGAACATAGATGTAAAAGGAGAGAGAGGACAAAGATGGAAAAAGCTAAGCAGCTTAGTAAACATAGCCGCCGTTGGAGCCGTATTGTGTGCCATAGCTGGCGGAGCCGCTTGAAGAGGCAGCCTGAGCCGTGTATGTGGGCTGGACAAGAGCAGATACAATCTTGTTGTTGGCTACGTTGGATTCCTCAATGCCATTCGATGTGGGCTCCTGGTACAGATGGGCAGGTGTGACGGTATTGGCACCAATGGCAATCGGCGCCTTCGGCACGCCGTAGGTAACGTGGGCAACGCGATCGCCCTGAGTAATGAACTGTTGCGGTGTATAGGTATTGGCGCCAATGTTGAACGACTGTGTCTGCACTGAACTTGAGACTGATCCCAGATTCTGAGGGATCAAATGAGCTGGCTGGTAGCTGCTGGTATCTGCACCGACAATGAGCTGTGCGGTAGATGCTTGCTGATTCTGAGGGATCAAATGAGCTGGCTGGTAGCTGCTGGAATCACTACCAGGCAGGACTGCTGGGGCCGTTGAGCTGCTGGTGTCCACATTGATAACAACCTGTCCGGTAGCTGCTTGCTGATTCTGAGGAATCAAATGAGCTGGCTGGTAGCTGCTGGTGTCTGCACCGACAATGACTTGAGCTTGCTGATTTTGAGGAAGCAAATGAGCTGGTGTGTAGCTGCTGGGATCACTACCGGGCAGTACTGCTGGGGCCGACGAGCTACTGGTGTCCACGTCGATAACGATCTGTCCGGTAGCTGCTTGCTGATTCTGAGGTATCAAATGAGCTGGCTGGTAGCTGCTGGTATCTGCACCGACAATGACTTGAGCTTGCTGATTCTGAGGAAGCAAATGAACTGGTGTATAGCTGCTGGAATCACTACCAGGCAGGACTGCTGGAGCCGATGAGCTACCGCTGCTGATGCCTGCACCGACAACGACTTGAGAAGTAGTTGCCTGCTGATTCTGAGAAATCAAATGAGCTGGCGTGTAGCTGCTGGAATCACTACCGGGCAGCACAGCTGGCGCCGACGAGGATGAGGATGCGGAGGAACTGCCATAGGCATAGCCAGAGCCTTGTCCCACATTGAGCAGGTGACTTACATCGGCGGCCACTAGGCCGACCAAAGCCAAAGCGATAACGCAGAACTTCTGCGATAGACAAGTGAGAAGAAAGACCGAAATTCAGTATCAAAATGTTATCGATTCGAGCATTTCACTCGATAAGTGTTTCGTTCTTAGAACTTACCATGTTTAGGGTCTGTAGACTTTGTTGATCTGTTGTTGCTGGCATCGAGGTATCAAGTTTTTATACGAAAAACTATCGAATGGAACACTATAATGGGGTGCTCTATGCTAATTAACGGTTTATGTCTTACTCGTCTCTTTTGTTTTTATAGAAACTCACAAATGAATATATATGTGTATAAATATATATATATTTAAACAAATTTCTAAAGCCCAAAAACAAATTCTCTGTTGGCTTGCTTCATCGTCCAGCTAATAGAAGAGGTGGCAGCGAATCGACTATCAATATGTATCTATCAGACGTAAACAAAACGACATCCGTACAAAATACTGATTAGAACGTCTCCGACATCTGAACGGCCTCCACTAATTATGATCGCATCTCTCGTCGCACCATTCGTCACACCAAATATTATTTAAAAATCACAAATTAGCGCAAACTGTTTCATTAATATATAATTTTCATTATATACTGTCGCTTTTTTTCGGGTTCTATAAGCGGCTTTGGGTCGGAAACCAGTTTTCACACGGCAGCCTCCAGTAGTAATATATTCACTTGGCAACCTGTACACTTGAGCCCAAATCTGTCGACTTCACAGAGCAATAACTGTCTTTAGAAACCCAATTATCGCATCTTGAATGGCATTCAATCAATAACTCTGCCAAGAAGAACATCAGCACTGAAGCTTGTTTGCTTTTCAGCGCTCTCAAAACTAAGTATACCCAGTGAAGTCGTTTGAACTGTATCAGAAGTTCGCATCTTCGATATTTGAGTGCATTTATATTCTATTTGTCGTCTCTGAGTCTGCTCTGAGAGTTTAGTACTATTGTTTGTCTATTATGCGAAGATCGACGAGCCTTAGTTATACAAAATACGAGTTTGTATTGATATGGTAATAAAACTATTTTGTTACTATTTTATTATTTGTTTCTTTTTT